TATATATATACTTAGAGGCTATACACATCCATTGTTAATCAAACAAGCTGTGCGTACAATATACATACTCTTATGCATAGTAGTTTTAATTCAAATATTTATGTATTCAGTTGTATATATGCATGAATGTTTTTGTGAATTACTTTGCGAGAATGGTTGTGGATTCATTGTGTAATTCATATATGTATTAAAAGCAAATTTACATATAATTAATTTAAATTTTTATTGATAAACGACACATATATCCATATTAGTTCCCCGATGAAAACATATTGGTGTGGTCCCACTCAAGCTGATTGATGTGGGTAAATCCATCTTTGATCACTAAAGATAATAATTTGTAATTGACAACATTGGTATTTATAAATATATCTGCACAAAACGTACCGTCTTCGTCTTCCGAATCAGTATTATCCGAATCAGAACTTTCCTCAGATGCGCCATCAGTTTGCATTGGATTAATGGTAATGGTCAATGCAGAATCGTCCCAAATCAAACCTTCATCAGCTACCTAAAATATTAAGTAAACAATATATAAATTGAGACCAATGCACAAGGAGATCCCCTGAACCCTTCGAGCAAGTGAGTAATTTCAATAATTCTTTGCATATTTCTGCTTGCAAAAGAAACAACACATGCACACGCACGCACGCATAAACACGCATGAACTGCAGTATGGGCTTACTATGCGAATAAAAGCTTTTTTGAATAACTTTTCTTGTGGATGGACTATCTTCATGAAAATTGTAGATCGTAATTATAGCATCTAGTATCTAGTATTTAAAATACGCCTTTTAAAAATTTAGGGATAAGGGTGTGTATATAAGCCTGAAGGGTGAGTTACAACAAAAACCTAAATACTTTAAAGAACATATGAATCTACATTTAAAAATAACAATAATACAGTGGAATCCGATTATAACGACTCTGCCTAAAGCGTTTAACCGGTTATGTCGACGAAAATTAGATGTCTAGGTTGGTCCCCATACAATCTTATATGAAAGAGCCTCCACATAGTAGGTTTCCGCTTTTGATGACAATCCGCTGATCTCGACGACTTTTTCCTATTTTCTTAGTAATTTACCGGCTAATACGACGTGAAATACAGGGAAATAATGATAAAACAGTTAAGCATACAAAGGCGCTGTTAGAAATGTATATATGTATGTATTTATTTATTAATGCTTACTGTCCTTGCTTGTGAGCCTAGCAGCGACACAAATAAAGCGGCACACATAAACTGCAATGCCGACGTCCCACAAATGTTTCTATAACATGATATAGAAATAAATATATAATTATACCCTGAACCCATTGAAAATGGAAAATCAGGGTATAATAGTTTTGTTAAAAGTATGCAGCAGACAGAAGGAGGCGTGGCAGACTCCATAAAGTATATATATTATTGTTCTATGTTGGAATTCAGATTTGTGAAGTTTTAAATAACAAGACATAGAAATACCTTATTCTACTTAGTTAATTTTTTGTTTATACTTGATTTTAATTTTTAATTTTTTCAAAATACTTGAAAAATTGCTATAAAGTTTAAAAACCTTGCTGTGCCAATAATTTAGTTCGTCACTGTATATAAAAAAATGCTGTTTCCCAGAGCTGCCTGCCACGACGGTACTAACTAGCCAAACTCTATTTAATCAAACTAAGGGATAAGACTTAATCAACCCAGTTCGTCGCCCTGATTAAGGGTACGTCCTCTTGTGCCCGTTTTAACAAAAACTTTTTGAGAAATCAAACAATTTTACCTTGGGACAAGGCTGATGTCGGTCGGTGTATTTTTGGTTACTTTTTAGCCTTGCCACAGAAATGCCACAGAGTAAGATGACGAGAAAAACGCATATTAAAATTATCAGCATTGTTGGATGCGACGCCTCAGCTAATAAAGAAGATTTTATATATATGTATTCATATTATGATTATTACTATTATAATTTTTTATTATAATTTACAAACCTTTGTGCGCGAAGGAGTGTAAATGAGACTTAGGCTCCTGTACATCATTGATATGAAGCAAGGAGTTCGAAAAAAACTTCGTATCTGAAATAAATAAATTTCAGAACATCTCCACATTTAATCTTCTATATTATATTATAAATTAAGCAAATCAAATATTTTACCTGATGATCCTTGAACCACACTCTCGCTTACAATTCGCCCATTGTGATAATTGGATGGAAAATTTTCCTTTCCTTCAGCGCTTGTAACGGCTGATGATGGTGCATTTGTTGTTTTAAAAAATTGCTTCGGATGCAAAACAGTCAATGTGAGTGTATATTCAACACTTTTATATTGTGCGGATAGCTGCGAACAGGACAGCTTAAACACACGATTAAGATAATATGCCGGTTTCTTGTTGCTATAGACTAAAGCACGCAATACGCTGAGATAACTGCGAATTGAATCGGTTCCGATCATTTCAACCCCATCCTTGTTAATATTTGTTCTGATGTCCATTGTAGATGACAATGATTCATCCCCGTCTATTTGAATTTCCTCATGGTCCGGATTTAAAGATGGAAATACAATTACACTGCACGAATCGAGGTTCTCTTTGGGGATCCCATTTTCACTATCACTGTCGGTGGCGAGACCAATGCGAACTTTATCCAAGATATGTACACCAAATTTAATTTCTTGATAAGAAACGAGTTTATTTTGGGTTCCTAAGAAATAAAAATAGAGTGATAAGTCTTGATACAATTTTACAGTTAGTCTTAAAATTTAGATATATGCTCGTTGCCACTCAGTTTGAAAAAAATAAATAAATTAAGATAATATTATTATAAGACATAATGAACATATATGTTTTTTTAACTGATTGCCAATGAGTGTATCATCAAAATATTAGATAGTGTATCTTTGTTCACTGCAGCCGTTTAAAACTAAAATCGTTTAGTTTTAATACAAAAAGCCATTAGCGGCATATACTTATGAATTAAAAACTTCACATAGTTACTTTGTTGTTTTTAATTTTACTACGACTAAGTCTACGAATGAGTATAATATAGTCGGTTTTGCCCAACTGAAACGTTTTTGTTATAATTTTTATTTACCGGAAATTGCAATCTTTGTTGCCAAATGTGAAGACTTCGATGTAAGCTGATCGCCTTCAAATTGAGGTCTGAGATTTTCAACTGTATAGAAAGTAGCAGTATCTTCTGCAAGTTTTTCGCTAGGAATTGTTGCTGGCTGAACGGGGTCATTTACCATGATATATGTCTCGATTGTGGGCAGACGTATGGCACTCTGATTTGTACACATTATTGTTGTACGAACCTCAATGTTTCTGCGTCCTATAGTGGGATTTTTTTTAATATTGATGTATTGTATTCTACGCATTAATTGCTCAATATTATGCTTGCTTTGTGCCTCTATATATATTTCATTCATTTTTGCATTGACCTGTACTTGAAAGTCTGTCGGCTCCTCCTCTGACTGCTGTTCAAGTTGCAATGCCGTCGATGGTAGCAGATGTTCGGCACAGCTCGTTCCACACTTAATGTCGTCGACAGAGAGCACACGGTTGAGAGATAGCTTCACTTCTGATATGTCACCATTGAATCCGTGCTTTAGTCGGTTCTCTGAACTCTGGTAACATGCTCCGACCGCCAGTGTAGTATTAACTCCATGTGCAGCATGCAAGGGCCAATCATCGATGACCTCCGGATTGGCGTGATGGTCCTCAACGGAGCTCACAAATTGTACACCATCTATGAACAGCTCTACCTTGGATGACTGGTATACGTTGATTACATAGTGGTGCCATTCATTGTCGCAGACCTGCGCTATTTTCCATCTCCACTCCGCTGGACTAAATATGTTTAGATCACCGTCATTGAAATTCTTTCGCAACAGTAGAATAAGTCGGCAGTTTCGTACGAACAGTGCCATATGGTGACGATTCATTTTGTGATCATCCGCGTTGCAAACTATATGCTCTTTTACATGTTTGTTCATTGGGCTTTGATTACCATGGCGAAAGATCGTCACAATGCTAAAAGGCTTCAGCGAGAAATCGTGATGGTCAATAAACCCATCGGGTACAACTACACCAGCTGACCCATCGAAATGGAAGACCGGCTCAGGCCCCTCGTCATAGCTCAACTCCTTCGTCCAGTCGGTGTCACGGGGCAAAATGTCCTTTAAGTTTTTATTCGCTGAACAGTTCGATATATCACGATCACAGCCAAATGATATGTGCTTAGTCTTAATACGAATAGCATTAACATCAACAAGTGGATTAGGTCAATATAAAATTGTGTAAAGTAAATAAGTATGCTTACCTTAAGAGCAACCGCTGCGTGAACGTTTAGATCATCAGCTGTGCATAATATATTGCACAAATCAAGTCGCGCATTTGGAAACAGTTGTAAGCTTTCCGTGCTACCGGACTAAAAATTTTGATTATTTATAAAACCAATGCCACACTTTCTTAATTGTACTCATTCGTAAATATATCCAATATATTATATTGGTTTTGTGCACTATCCGCCTTGCTGTCCATCCGTCTGTGGTATTGTCCGTCCGTCCGTTTGTATGTATGAATTTTTTCGGCGCTATTGAACCTAAATGCATTGATCATATACTATAAAGTATTAAAATTTTCCTGATTCACCCACAATCGGAAAATTGACAAATTGGAAAATTAATTTTCCGATATTCGTGTTGACCATCCAAGACCAAAAAGCTATGGCGGATGAATCTACGTCCACAGGCGCATAGTAAATCGTAACGTTATCTCTCCGAAGGGCCAGCGGCTTGAAATTTAAATATTTCAATTTTTGACAACTAGTTCTAAAATAATTCTTACGCTTCTTCGAGGGCATGTTTTACTCTGTAATTTTCGCATTATTAGAGAGTAAGCATTCAAATTTTTTTCGCCGCATCGGATAAAACTGCACCTTCTAAAGCTTTATAGCTAGAGCATTGATATTTTGCACGTGAGCTAATGCTACGATTTCAGAAAGATGGCAGAAGAAAAAAAAACAAAAGCCATGGTGGATATATCTACGACAAAGTTCATACCTTCAACAGTTTAAGAGATAGAAGCATAGGATAGTTGAATTAGTGCTAACCTCCTCTTTCACCGACCCAAATTTTATATATATATGTATATATATGAATTTATACATTTAGTAAATACTTACAATGTAATCGATGCGTTCTGGTATGCCTAAGAACTTGGCGTCGCACACTCGGCGTACCTTGATGCTCACCATAATGGGAACAGATTCTTTCATAGCGCAGTCGTAGGCCACTACAGATAAAATGTGATTGTGGGATACCTTATGAGAGAGAGGCTCTTTGTTTTTGATTGAGCCTTCGTTGTCGATTGTGAATGGTTCATCACTATTTAGTATCTCATATTTGCAAACATCTCCAAACAGTGGAGTGCAATCTTTGTCTACTGCTTCGACACGAATAATTTCATTATAAAGTTTACCCTCATCGACTTCGGTAACATATGATGGCTCTAAGAAGGTCGGAGAATACTCATTGATGTCGATCACTGTGATATGGACGTTTGCCGAGTTCGATGGCGTTCCATCGCAGTATATGGCAACAATCTCAAAATGGTAACTTTTACGCTTTTCACAATTGAGTGTGTGGCGTGCCTTCAGTATTCCAAGATTGTTAACCAACTCAATCTGAAAATTAATTATCTTTTATTGACTTTGATTTATATTAAATTTTGTTAATATGTGATGTGTTTGGAAAATTTACTATCGTTGTTCTTATAGTTTGAGGCCCCACCTGGAATGGAATTTCATGATATGGCTTTTTTACAATGCGAAAGTTGCAAATTTTTTCTTCATCGACGTTAATTAATGGCGTTATTTCCACTAGAGTCTCATTTTCCCGAATCAATCCATGGTAGGACTTCTCTAGAATATACTCTGAAATCATAATATATAATTTTGATAAACCATCATTTAAGCAAACTTGTGTATTTTTATAATTTGAACGAACCTCGTTGGATAAGATACTCGTCCTCATTTTCAGTAGAAGTGCCAGCATGAACCGAAACACCGACGAAACCAATTAATATTAGACCCAAATAGCCAAGATTTAGGATTTGTGACGGCCCCATAATTCTAGATTAATTTTTAATTAACAAATTACCCAATATATTGAGTTTACCAAACTCTGTAATTTCTGTAACGGAATAATGCAAACAATTTTCATAAGCTGCACTGTTAATTATTTTTTTATTTTAAATTTATCAAACAAATTACAATTTTAACTTCCGAAATCAAATGCATCTTCAACTGTATAAATGTGCTTGAATTTATAAGATACACATTTTACGAGATACATATTCATGCATGTATGCGTACACATATCTGGATATATATATATACATATAAATAGATGTTAATATGCATTCACAATTTTTTTTCAAATCCATCATTTCTCAAATAGCGAAACCAAAACAATTCACGTTGATTTCAACAAATTTTCTTCAGTATGATTAGAAATTAATATTAAGTATTTGAGTTCTTATTAATTTCTCACCCACTCAGGAAAATGCAATAATCAATATTTGTTAGTACCTAAAATTTTTTCTGTCCGTTTCAATGTTATTTTGATGGCTTTTTTAAAAACAATATCAAAAGTATTATCCACAATTCGATTTGCTGATCATTTAGGCATTTAATTATTTATCTGAAATTTTTAATGCGTCTACCAAGAAAAGAATCTGTTGATTTATAATATCCTAAATAATCCCTAGCTGTTTTTAAGTTGTTTGTCTGATGTATTTTTCCACATCAGTTTCGTACACAAATTTCTTAATATCGATTGCTTATGATACCGATATTTAAATCGAATAAATTAATTTAAATTCAGTACATCTCTATTTCAAGACATGCTATACTATTAACAGTCGGGATAGACAACAATTCGTTAGTAATACCACTTAGTGGTAATACCAATTTATTTTGATACAAATAAACCTTTTTCAAATCATATTAGAAACGTTTGTAACAAGAAAAATCTTACCTTACAAAGAATCTCTGGTCACACTGTCTATGAAAAAGAGCGCTTTTTAAAGAATTCATTTTAAGAAAACAATAAAATGTGAAATGTGAACATTGTATGAAGTATAATAAACACCTTACGCATTAAACATTAACGATATCCTGTAGCTGTCTCCATTTGATCTACATATTTAATTTGGGTACCACCTTACTTATAGCATTTATATACTGAAATTTTTTTTTTTCTTAATGTTTGGATTAATGTGTTAATGTTATTTTTTTTTTTTTTTTAATTTATAGATAAATAAATAGAAAGATAAATAACTATAAAAATAATAAACCTTCCTAATTTGCACATATGTCTGCGTAACATTAATAATTCACTGTAAACTTGTAGCCCTGAATAATGAGAGAGCAACAAAGAAGATGTACCCGCTGAAAGCTGTAGACATTATGCATTCAACCCTAGCTCTCTAAATGTTCTAAAAAGCTAGCAACAGTTTTTGCCCACGATTTCATTCATGGCGCAAATGTATGCGCGAACAAATATATACATACATATATGTATATATTTATGTATGTGACAAAAAAACGAACGCTACGTACACCTATCCCGGAATTTCCGAAGCAGGCAGCCGAAGCACGATTCGGCATTGAATACAAACACGTTTATCGGAAGGAAGTTAGTGAGCGGATATCTATATTTTCTGAGCCAGTAGATGCTGTTTTCCATTCAAGCCAAACACCGTCGCTCATTCATTCATATGTGGCGCGCTGGAAAAGTTAATAATTCATTCATAACTCTATCTATACTATACAAACGGAAGGGAACTGTAACTTATTTATTGTGTGCAATCGCGGTGAACTTAAAAGTGAATTGCATGTAATTCTTAGACTGTTGAATTAAATTTAGGTATATATATTTAGGTATATATATATAT